AATGTGAAATGAATCTGTTCAAATAACTCAGGATTTTCTGGTTTTCATCCTGGGCTGACAAATTCAGTGCACATCGTCAGGTGAGTTCATGTGGAGTTTGATTAATTTGAGTTCTAATAATCCGTTGACCATTTTCTGACAGCTAGTTTGCAGGTGAGCTGATTCCTGCATGGTTAGTGTTAGTTAAAGGTGGGATAAGCTTTTTGATTGGCTTTTATAGCCTGTTTTTACATTTTGAGATGTATATATTTATTTTGTACTACTCTATACTGTCTTATTGGTGTTTTTTGTATCGGCTCATACAAATGGAAATAAAAGTACTTTTTTTTTTTTACTGGTTGATGAAAAAAGTACTTCTTTCTTTCTTTTTTAAACTGGTTGATGAAACGTATCCGGTGTGATAAAGTCCCGGTTTTCTGTGTTTACGTCGGGTATAGCTGGAGTTATTTGGAGGCGTTTGAAGGCTGGAAGTGTGCCGTTATAATCTGAGCGTGACAGTTGACTCTAGGCTCTGACCGGGAATCCTCCGGCTGCAAATGGTCAGAGCGGCGCTGACCATAAACTGTAATTTGGGCCTGCAGCCAGAGGCGTGCAGGCTAGAGTTACAGCTCATAATATCCCCCCACATATACAGCTCATAATATCCCTCCACATATACAGCTCATAATATCCCTCCACATATACAGCTCATAATATCCCTCCACATATACGTTATTGTCCTGACCCAGAGGGCTGGAACAGGAGACTTCCCTCCTGCCCCTAAACCTTCACACCAGGGTTTTTTCAGCATGGGAGCTACTTTAGAAATGACCAAGTTAAAATGATCTACCCGTTATAATTATTAAGAAATATATTGAGGATTCTTTCAACTTATGTTGATGTATAACCACATATTGTGACGGTAGACGAGACAAACGCACTTTGAAAATGTCATCGTGAAAAAATGTCCTCCTCCCATTCCGTATGAAAGTGATGCGTTTTTTTCTCCTTACTTGGTCCAGCTCCCCCACTCATTTTCATAACCTATCTTACGTTTAAGAGGAGAAAAACGAGCGAGAAATTAGGATGTAGCTAACGACTAGCTTGTTAGCTTAGCTAATTGACCTAATTGTACGGGAAAAAATCAGATGTCATCTGACTGGTTTTCCTGTGGATCAATCAAG